GGTTGTTTCATATCTAAATTGTTATGAAGTAAACTGCTAGTTGGTGTTACATATTAACCTACTGGGATGTTTCATTGTGACAGTCGATAACTCAGGGTAATTGTTTTGGTTATACGTCGATTTATTCAATATAAAGGGCTCTGAGTTCAGAATTTTGTTTATTTATCTCAATATAATTTTGATTAAAATTTAATTGATTAAGATAATTTTATTTCAAACCCTGCAATTAATCTGATTAAAATTTTATTAAAGTTCAAAAAAAAAAAAAAAAAAAAGACATGATATTGAAGAGTATTTTGTAATGCAGTTAAAAACCAAAGAAGAGCAGCACTGGCACAGATCCTTTTTACTCTTTTTTTTTACTTAGTGGTTCTCTTGTTTGTTGAGTTTTCTTTTTTTTAGCACTCCTTCTTTGAAATGTCCATCTGAGGGAAAGCAACACTTGAGTTCTTACTTTTTCACATCCGATCTCCACCTGCTTATTTTTGATGACATTTACCATCATTCTGTCTCTTGTGAATCTATCAAAAAATGTTTGTTTTGCATCATTTCTCAAAATAGCCATACAGGTAAGCTATGAGGTCCCATCACCCAGAGAGCTGAACACAAGCCATTCAAAAACATGCACAAGGAGCTCACACACACACACACACACACACGCACGCAAACACACGGAGGACTCTTTTCAAAGAAGTTTGCTTTTTTTATTACTTCCTCTCCCATTCAGTGGCCTCCCCACTTTTCCAGAGTGCCCTGGTTGTGCAGTGAAAGAGCCGTGCTTATTATGAGCTCCGGGTCCTCCAAAACCAGCTTTGTTTTGTCCAGATATCTCTCTCTCTTTCTCTCTCTCTCTTTAATATTCACGGTAAGAGACTTGGCTCTCACAAGATGGCTGTTTTCCCAGTTTTCTTCCCCACTAACAGCCAAGTGCGGGCCCCTGTGAGTGTAAACATGGAGAAGGGAGGGACATCTCCTGACAAACATCTCCAAGGATGTGCCACCCTGCCCCGTGTCATTCATTCTCTACCTGGCACCAAAGCTAAACTGTTAACACAGACGTGTGAGCGCCCAGAGCCCACAGGCCTGCCAGCGGCTGCACATGCTCGCTCCTGCCGAAACCCACAACACATTCACATCTGCTGGTCGCAGAAAGTGGCAAAAAATGTGAGCGTGGAATCAAATGGATGACGTAGTGTTTTTTTATGAATATATATATAATTTGTGGCCAATAAATTAGGACTAAATTCCAAACCTTTTTACTGGACACAGTATATTTTAAATATTTTGTATTGACTTCTACGTTTCCTTCTTCTGTCAACATCAGATGTGAAAGCTTTATTATGACAAATGTTTCAACAGTAATTGGCTTTGGCTTTAATGCTAATTCTCACTTATAATGTTTGCAGTAACATTGTCTGTTGGTCCTGTGTTTATCCAGGTGGCTAACACAAGAGTCCAAACATTTATTAGAAACTCTGAAGAGACTTGCTGCTTTCAGAGAAAGGAGTCATTTCCTTAAATACCAGTATGCGCCTGAGATGTTATTTCCAAATCATGTCTCAAGATTCTAATGACTGAAATTAGCAATTTCCTATTAGATTCTTGCCATTTTGTCAGCTTATATCACAATATTACTGCGAGTTACGAATTTGAATAATCATCATTTAGCTTAATTTCACTCATGAACATTAAATTTCATTGCCTTTGTTTGTTTTGAAATATTTAAAATCCATATTTAAATATGTATTAAAAATTACTTGATAAAAGAATTAAATTTACCTCACTAGAAATATACAGGTTTCTAGACAGCTTTAAAATTATATGCAAGAATTTAGCTTTATCAGCTTCTAGAAAAAGAAAACAGTAAAAAATGAAAATAAAAATAAAAAGCATCAACAGAACTTTACTCTAAAAAGGTTAAATCAGACTGAAGAACAATTGAGACTATTCTGCAAAAATAAAATATAACAATTCTGTTTTTCTTGTCGATTTGTGATGGAAACATTAGTTAGTAACAGAGTTTCCTGAAATGCACTTAGGTCAAGCCTAAAGTCTTCGGTTTTGTGATTAAAGTCCACCTGAGTCTTGATCATCAGCACCTACTAATTACAGCACACTAGCAAATACCATGAGCTAGATACAGAGATCTGGGTTCAAACAGAAAATTACATGAATAAGGTTTTACTCTGCATGGGAGTCAGACTCCTGGTGATGTTACTAACTGTGATTGGTCACCAGTTCAAAGCCACATTTACATTTTAATTACCAGCCTAATCAATGGTGCTGCACTTGGACTTTGTGACATTCATGAAAACTCATTTAATACATAAAAACGGGCAACTGAGGGCAGAGAAAAATCACTAATTCTAAAAAATAATACAAAACGACAGACTCTCAGAAGCAGAATCACACTACATCCAAAGGTTGACAAAGGATGACTCCCAAAATGCCAAAGTAAATTGAAGAGATGTGCAACATATGACAGAAAACGGATGGCTTGCCAGACTTGAGCAGGATGATTTAAATAGCAAGTGATTGAACAACAAATTCACATTAAGAGCTTATTGATGAGTTCAGTGTTTCGTTTGGGATCAATAAGACAACCGGTGGAGGCTGAAGCTGATGCTTCCAGCTGAGAGACACTGCAGGATAGAGAGATGAGAACATATTGAATGTCCTGCTTCATCCCAGAAAAGGCACTGAGATTTTTCAAAACAAGAGCAATGAAACTCCTCCATGTGGGCAACAACTCTGTTTAACAGTGAATGTTTGCCAAAAGATAAAACGTTTGCTAACATAGAAGAGAACATCTGGTTTTCACAGCAGTGAATAAAATAGAATAATTGATCTATTTTTAATATAGGAAAACATTTCTACATTACTAAAATGTAGCAAAAACCAAATGCTTCCTCACTGGGCAAATCAGCACAAAAGTTTAACTTTTAGGATTATATTGGAGTTTCAATTGTTGCTATCAATACTTTTGTTTTTAGTCTCCAATATTATGAATTGATATGCTCTGTAATCCAAACTTAACATAACTTTTTTGTAACCTTTGACTGTTTCTAACTGCTTAACTTTTTTTGCTATCTCTGTTTTTTTATTCTATTTTGGATGAGAACATTCATATGACTATGATGCCCTACAACACCAAATACAATTAAAAAGAAAATAAAAAATGAAAAAGAAAAGGTCTTTGCAACAAATACACACTGTAAAAAGGAACCTCATGGGTTATCACATTAAAAAAGAATATCATGTACTGTTAACTAAATAATTCTATGTTTGAGCCATAAACATGATACAATCATGTTGCATAAACAAGATATTCCACAACTTCAACGTTTATAAAATTGAATCATGTTGAGAGAACATAATTCATTATAGTCAGACCGATCCTATGCTGAAGACCACGAGTGAGATCACGGATATCACGCAAGATTACGGGAAATCACGGGATATCACGCGAGAATACGCGAGAAAATCGGTTTTCTCTCGCAAATGGAATAAAATGTATTCAAGGTGAGATAACGTGATTCAATTACGTCAGCTAGATCTTCCGCCAAAAAAAAAAGAACGTCGGGGCGTATTACATTAACAAAAGAATATCATGTACCGTTCACACAATAATGTTGGGTTTGAAGCGAAAACGTGATAAAATCATGTTGGATAAACAAGATATTCCACGACTTCACATTTATAAAATTGAATCATGTTGAGCTAACATGATTCATTATAGTCAGACTGATATTGTGACGACAACGAGTGAGATCACGGGATATCACGCGAGAACACGCGAGAAAATCGGTTTTTTTCTCTCAACTGGACTAACGTGATTGAATGACGTTATCTCAACTTGAATACATCTAATTAACATATATATACCCACCGCGGTGGTTCTTATCCTCTGAGCTCGGGTCCTCTACCAGAGGCCTGGGAGCTTGAGGGTCCTGCGCAGTATATATATATATTGGATTATCCATTATTACAGACTTGAGCTTTCTATTTTTTTTCTTTAAATTGTAGCTCATATATATATATATATATATATATATATATATATATATATATATATATATATATATAATATATATATATATATATATATATATAATATATATATATATATATATATATGTTTTTGGGGTTTTTTTTTATTCCATATCAATATTTGTCAAAGTTAATCTAATAAAAAAAAAAAAAACACAGTGACGTCAGTTCCAAAGCGCTATTGTGTCAGACTCATCTCCCGCTGAAGAGGATCCAGGTCAAGAGATTACGGAAAATCACGCGAGATAACTGTCTTGCACCTTGTTGGGTTTTTTCAAGGGCAGAGGGATTCCTGGCGTGCATCCACTTAATTTGAAGAAGGTAAGAGTCAAACTATTTTCATCTAAATCCATATAAAAATTGTAACTTAAAATGTCTCTACATTTGCACCATTTTCTACTTGTTCCATACTTGTGTCATTATTTCATGTTCTGTAGATTAAGTCGGTTAGGTTAAGGCAGATAGCTATATGTGATATCATTGGTAAGTTTACATTTATCGCCGCACCATTTTAGGTACATTCTGTGCGAAAAAAGTCTGCAGAGCCATATGTAGTGTACAAAGCTGCTGCCAGAGACACAAATGGACCCCAGAAATGTCACAGTTTTGCTCCTCCTGAGCTCCCTGGAGGTTTAGTGGATTTTTAACACACGGATCTAACATCAGTCTATTTCTAACTATTTTAATTCTATTTCAGTAATGTTACTATGGAGGTAAATGTAGATACACACACTTTGGTACCTTTCTATCATCATCGAGATTTTTAATTAATTATGGTAATAAAAAGTCCTACATTTCAGTCGGTGAAACCTGCAGAAAGCATTGCTTTCTGAGCTTTGTTAAATGTTCCTTAAATACCTGTTAGTTATGGATTTCTAGTATATTTTGTCAGGCTAAAACTCTCAATGGATTATCCATTATTACAGACTTGAGCTTTCTAATTTTTTTCTTTAAAATACATATTCCTCTGCTGTAAAGATGTTGGGTTTTTTTTTGGACTCTTCTTTGTTGTCCCCAAATAATTGTAGCTCAGAAACAATATTGAAGTTCATTGGTTTAATTTTGAAATGTTGACGTTTTTTGTGTTCATTGTATGTGCTCATTTTGACCTATGTTACTATTGCTTTCTATCATGTTCAATTCACCATTGTTCTGCACATATGTGCTTGCATACAAGTGTCCAGTGGTTATATTCATGAGGCATTCAAGGGACTTGTACTAAAAGATACAACTCAGTTCAGTATGAATTGCATATTTTAATGGCTGAAAATATATCTGATCTCTTTCAGAACATCACCTGATCACCTGTCTGTAATCCACCTGCTTAAGTTCTGGTCAAGGGGCTCATCGGCTATCAAATTATAGATTTCAGTGGCTAATAGTAAGTTTTGCCAGATCTAAAGTGACTGAATGTAGTGTTAGAGAGCTTATAAAGCTAGGGTTCAGCTAAACTTTTATTTGGCCAGTCTGTTTATTTGTCTTTATTTGCGTGGGGATGTGGAAATGTAAGGGTGTAGTCTCTCTCTGTCTCGTAGATATGACCTGTTAAAACATTTTACACTTAAACACCGGCATACGACGTTATCCATGCCCACACATAGACTGTCCATGTACTTGTAAGACATGGAATGCTTTGCATATTCATTTAAGTAGAAGGATATAGACTGTGTTGACCATTCTGTACTTTTCACATATTTCTTTGGTGATATATTCATGTCTTTATTTAAACATCTAACAGCTTCAGTTAGATGTTTAAATAAAATGTTAAACTCCATTTTAGTCATGGCACAATGAAGGGATACTAACAATTTTAAATATCTTTCAAACAGACTGCAAGCCACTGATCACTTTTGTGACTTCCTTTGAATGTAGCTATGTTTTCAAGTGTGTGAACCTATACTGCTGGAGTTTTGAGATTGTTCTCTTTGTTTTTTGATCTGCATATTTAGGAAGACACTGCTGAGGTCAGATGAGAGTGCATCCTCAAAGGTCTGTGTGTACCTAAATGAAGATCCAGAGAAGCTGGTGAGGGAGTACATGGTATGTTAAATTCTCTTTGTGTTTACAATAGAACTCCTAAGAGTTGTTAAAATACTTTCACCAACTAAGGTCCATGAGTGACTCATCAATGTCAGTCTTAATTTATTTATTTAATTACATGTGAATTGTCTCCCCCCAATACCCTTCCCTAACTCCCTTAGGACGTTGATGAATGTGCAGAAATGGCCAAAGCCGAGACTGTCCTCGGAATCGTCATTTGAGCAGAGGGTGCCGATGCACATCTGGATGTTGGGATTGTCCTGGAGGGGGTGGAAGTTATGAACAGCTTGGGCAGTGTATCTTCTGCAATAGTGATGCTGCTGGGACTAATCTACGCACTAAACTTGAGCTACCCTCAAGTTTAGTGCGTTCAGCACTCAACTTGCTCAGTAACTCAAGCATACCTTTGAAGTAATACAGGAATAATAAGAAATTGGATGGAAAGAACTTATCAAAGAAAGCACAAGTTCTCAATATGAAACCGCTAAGTTGAGTAAAGTTTCATATGGAAAATGAGTGTTTAAAGTCGCAGTAGAAAAGATTTATATTGTTACAGTTCTCTAAGTTGAGCAAATATACTGACATGTTTTATGTTGTAAAGAATTGGCTGGGAAATGAAACTGTAACCTTTTTGTAGTTGTTTTTTTATTTCAATGTCCAACTCAGCTGTGTTTTGTGCTGTGTAAAAAAAACGATGTATACAATTCTGAAAATACAATTGTGTTGTACCTTTTCTAATTGTTGAGTGTTCTTCCTACACTTTCACCTAGTGCTATCTTAAAATGCTTCATTAACGCTTGAAAAAATGTCTTTGAATTAACGTCATGAAATAATGGAAAGGATTTCCACATGATTAACTAGCTGTCTTTTAGCATGAAGCATATTTGTTGAGCTAACTTACTTTTAGTGAGTTGTACCTACTGAATCAGGTAGTGTGAAGGTACCACTGTAAAATAAGGTGGTTTCAACTAGATTTACATTCATCTTAATGAAGTCACATCAATGATTTGGTCCTAAACATTGCAGATTAGTTGGGCGGGCTGTATTGCATTACACTGGGTCACGCTATAGTACTCAGTTAAAGGAACCTTTAAAACATATGTTGAGCCAACACATTTCATTTGAATTTGAATAACCATAATGAATGGAGTTGAGCCAACTCATTTGATTTACAATCATCCATTGCATTACCATAATTCTGGTTAAGCCAACATATTTGGTTTAAATTAGAACAACCTTAATGAATTATGTTTTGCCAACTCATTTTATTTATATAAGAATAACCACAATATATTACGTTGAGCCAACATGTTTGATCTAGAATCACCCATTGAATCACCATTGTAACAAGTTGAGCCAACACATTTGCTTTACATTGGAATAATCTTAATAATTAGGTTGACCTAACACATTTGCTTTAAATAGGAGTAACACAAGTACATGGTGCTGAAATAAAGCAAAGTAATCAGGTGGAAATTCTTTCCATAATTTTTTATGTTCATCCAATGACTTATTTTTTTCAGTGCACCACTGTAGAATCAATAACATCTCTGCTACAAGGTGCTTCATGAGTGGCAAAGAAAATGCCAAAACTTATCAAATTTATTAATCCAAGTGAAGTCCATTTGTATGGGAAAGAGTTCCAGAGTCAGAGGACTCCAGCAAATCACATCTGTGTCATTGCTCTCCTCCCACAGCGTGACAGATGATGCTAACAATGAACATTTCATTTTGAGTCGCAGCACAAGCTCTCATACGACACAGATGAAGTACATCGGCTGTGATGAATTACAGGACAGTGATTTATCATGACAGGCCAATAGGATAAATACAAATGAACAATTAGCAGACGTAGCCCTAATTAACCGCTCCGAGACAAAAGATGAGCTTGTTCAGTGTGTGTGAACACGTTTCAAAACACTCAAAGCACTAGACTAATCTTCACGCAGTTTATAGAATATTACTGTGTTAATTAGGGTTAATTGAATAATTTGCCTCACTGCATACCTATTATGGATGTCAAACACAGAAGGGCAGTCGTGATTAAATAGGAGGTTGATTCATGGCAAATGAACCGCATTGAGATTCCTGTACACATTTAATTGGAATTGAATTATTTAAAAATCATGAATATGATATATATTTGTTTTAAATTTTACATAATAGGTTTTTCCTTATGTTCGGAAACAGGCTCAGACCATCATATTTCAAGCAGAAGCAGAAGAGTCCATTTATGGACTCTTTCTAGATCAACGCTGCTCATGTCTCGTGTTCTGTTTTTTATTCAGCAGGTAACTTGGGAAAACTTTGTTTCCCACACCGTGTCCTCATGAGTCCTAATGTAATTCAGAGAGCAATACAATACTGTGTGAAACCTCTATGCACGCAACCTTCCTCTCATCGCTTGCTCGCCCGTCACTTAACAAGATCTGTGTTATAACAAACATGGCCGACATGCGTGCACACTCACAGACACATACTGTATGCAACAAAAACAAATTAGGCCATATCTCATAATTCAATGTTACCAAATCCAATTGCAATCAGGGGAACTCAATTTGTCCCAACTGCTAAAAACTCTCAAGTTTAAGCAATTTGGAATGATTTGAGAAGTTCTAAAAATAATAAAGGTACTTAAACAAACCCTTGTGATAAAAAAATCGACTAGAACAGTACTACTGTGTTTATTTGAACTAAAGAAGAAAATTCTTAATCTACGCAAAAACTGATTGGTGAATTACAGGAATAGGTAGATATTTAGAGGTAGAGTTTTATATTATATTCTTGAAATAGATCAAGAATACAATATAAAAGTAGAATAATTGTTTAAATAGTAGGTATTCCTGAGGGAGTTTCTGATTATTCCACAATGTGTTTGTGTGTGTTTGCTGTAGAGAAATTGGACAATCCCATCATCCAGGGACTTGGCAGCAAATATCTAGCTAACAAATGATGATGTGAATACATAGGCTCATAAGCCTATAAATCAGACTTCTCCCTTACAAATTAATATAGTTCACAGTTGACAGCGGTAGAGGAAAACCATAAATTACGTCTGGCACATGAAAATGGCACAACAACAAGAGAAAAGACCTGTAAAAGAAACCAGAGCTTTCTTTAACTCTTGAGCTCCTAGAGATCATCTTTAAGATCAAAGAAATCACGTAATTAAAAAAAAAACAAAAAACAGAACAAATGACTCACAAATGTAAACACACTTGGGTTCCTTCAGTTTGCTTCCTCCTTTCAATCAAAGGCAATTTTTTTATGTTTTTGGAAAAAAAAATTAATGCATTTAATCTTTTCTTAATTGAACTGCTTACTTTATATTTGTGGTTCAATCTTCAGCATATGTGAAAGAAGTAAAACATTATGTAATTAGAGGACAACAGGGTGAAACAGGAAAAGAAGGATGAAAAGTTGCTACAAAGAGAGAACAGAACAAGACAATGGAAAAACAAGAGAAAGATAGTGGGAATGATGGGAGGAGGGCTACGTGCCAGGGAGCGTCAGTGCGGGGGCTAATGGTGAAGGTACCATGGTTGCAAGCAATTTCTCTTTGTTATCAAGTGAAATGACTCTGCAAATATGACAATAAATCACAGCGGAAATCAATCTGAGAGGAGGCGACTGTGAGCCACTGATAATGCATCAATCAATATTTAATGTTTAGACTTTAATTAATCCACAGGCGCCACGCATTCTTTAAGTGACAAAGGGTGGGAGGCTGGGGGGTGAAAATGAGAGAGGAGTGCTTTTGCATAGAAAAGCTCTTATATCAAACAGAGACACTGAGCTGAGGACTCATCAGTCGATTTCCAACTGCTTTCCGGCTTTAATCTCCTTTCACTATGTACCAAAGAGAGAGCATATGATACATGTTATCCCTTGCTAAAGTATTCACACTCCTTGAACTTTTCAGATTTTGAGCTCAGTCTATTTATATATATATATATATATATATATATATATATATATATATATATATATATATATATATATATATATATATATATATATATATATATATATATATATATATATATATATATATATATATATATATATATATATATATATATATATATATAAATTGATAAAACAACATAGTGGTAAATTAATAGAAAGCAATTTTTTAAATTTCTGGCAGAAACGTATGGCATGCATTTGCATAATAACAGATGTGCCCTTAAATAAAATTCAGTGCAGCCAGTAGTTATTAGAAGTCACCTAATTATTAATTAGCATATGCATTTAGATAATTATAAGTATGCCTTATTTCTTTAAATCTATTTTTTTAGTTTGATATTTCTATAATATAATATTTGGTTGAAATACCAAAGAATTTGCTGCACCATTTAAATTAGCTGTCATAAATTCTCATCTAAATCCTCTGTGATTATTATCTTTCATCTTTGCCAAAAAACACAAATTCTAAGTCTGTGTGGTTGTTTAGTGTGACAAACATACCTAACGTAGATTTAATACGTCCAGGACCTACAATAAATATCAAGCAGTGTCAGAACAGTGCTTGGAAAATCTCCCAGTGTGACTGCTGTCATGCTGACATCTGATACTTATTCTTTTTTGGAACCTCTGAAAGCCAGTCCAAACAAAAAGCCAAATAAGTAAAATGAAATGACTGTCAACACTTGATCAAGTCTCCTCTCTCCTTCCTTCAACTCACAGCTCAACTTTATGGCTACTTTAAAACTAACAAAAAGTCATGCTTCTTTCAGTAATTGTGGGAATGCAACTCTTAAAGCTGTGAGAACTTAAAGACCCCCTCCCTGCCAGTTACACCGTTTGGCCAGGCCTTCATACCCAAACCTCTGCAATGTCTGATTCAGGGGCTGTATCGAACAAAAATCCCCCTCTGAAGAAAGCAACCACAGAGCCGTTATGAAGGACCGCTTGAGTGTGGAGCTGTGCTTAGCCTTCGCCCTCTGATCACTCTGACATATCCCACAGGTACTAATTACCGAATCCACTCCTCAGAGGAGTTGCGAATGAAATAACACGGAAGTCGCTTGACATTTGGACACCTGCTGGAAGATTCACAAGGATAATTGGGACACAGCTGAGAGGGAGGTCCAACATGTCTGCATTAGTTGATAAAATGGATTTAGCTAACTCTCGGCATAAGGCACATCACCAAAAACATGGCCTTAGGGGAGCCCTAAGAGGGTCAACACAGGAGGGGGAAAGAGCACAAGTGTTTCAAGTTTAACAACTAGTCTGTGGACAATTATTTGAGAAGTTTCTTGAGATGAAGATAAAAGGCTTACTCGTAACAAGTTCTGATATTCTTGACTGCGCATATTGCATTTGATCCATTGTGCCACTGTCTTCAGATTTAAGAGGCTTTCATCTTCAAAGACAACTTACCTGGAGCTAGGAGGAATGCTCTCCTTA